TATGTATGAACGTATATATGTATGTGCATGATATGTCCATATATAAATATATATATTATATATATAAATATATATATATATATATATCTTGCATAATATATATATATGTATGTATGTATGAACTTGTGCATGTATGAATACATATACATATATATGTATATATAAATATATATATATATATATAATGATATATATAGAGATATGTATATATATATATATATATATGTATGTATTGTGTGTGCGTGTGTGTGTGTATGTATTCTGAACGGTTTGTGTTTACACTTCTTTAGAAATCGATTTTTTTTCTATCGCACACGTTCGAATTGGTGTCAGGAGCTGACCCGCTTTATCCTCTGGTGCCCTAAACAATCTACAGGGAAATGCAAGTAATGACCCTTCTTGATCATCCGAATATAGTCAAGTTATACGAACTAACGGATACAACGGATCATTTCTTGCTGATTCTCGAGTACGTGGCGGGCAGCAATTTAACTGAGAAGGTACCCCTATTCGCAACCACGAAGCGGAAGAAATTAGAGCCCTTAGTGCGCAAGCTGATGCGTCAGATTATGTCGGCCATCGCGTACTGCCATAAGGGGCATGTGGTGCACCGAGATATCAAGCCAGATAACGTAATGCTGGACGAGGACATGAATGTAAAGCTGGCCGATTGGGGATTCAGTAATATCTCCACAGACTTGCTGAGCACGCACTGTGGCACACCTTATTACGCGTCGCCAGAGTTATTCCGTCCGCATGCGTATCTCGGGCCGCCGTCAGACGTATGGGCGTGCGGTGTGCTGCTGTATTATATGTATGTGGGCAAGCTACCGTTCCGACAGGACCCCATTAAGGAGTATATCAAGAAGGCCAAGTATCAGATCCCGAAGTCTATGCCGACCACTTTAGCCGCTCTCATTAAGGCCATGCTGGTAGTTGATCCCAACCAGCGGTTGACTGCTGTAGATGTGTTAAACAGCGAATGGATTCAGGAGGGTGTGCCCATACCACGTTCTCTAGTGGCTAGCGGTAGGGCCGGCATGCCCAGGTCAACGTCAGTTATATTCGACCAGAAATCAGGCAAGAACTCCGCCATACACGACGACGTGGTGGCGCTGATGACCGTACATCTGGGGTTTACACAGCAGGAGGTGCATGAGTCGCTGCAGAATAACAGCTACAATCAGATCACAGCCACATACTATCTTCTACGCGACTCGCCGAAGCTATCGCAGTTTAGAAAATTTCTGCTGCACACATCGAGCCCCGCAGTGACCTCAGAAGACCACAATTCGACCAAACTGTTTGTTATCAAGGAATCGGGCGGGAAGAACCGCAGTGACGGAGACGTCGTCAAGAAAACCCCGCAACGGAAGCGCTCGGGTAGCAATCGGCTGCTCGGTTTTATGTTCAACCGAAAGACGCATACCGGTACTGAGAGCCCCGACACACCCAGTAGAGTCCCAGATGATCGAACTGATGATGTCCAATTCGAGAAGAGTTTCACGGCACTGAAAGGAATGAGGTCTGGAGGGTCTGGCATGAGCGGTTCAATTGGAGGACAGCAACGTGGCAGTAATCCTGGGATGCACTCACAACAGAGTACTCAATATCTGACAAATAGGAGACACTCTGTACAGCCTATGGCGGATGTGAATCCGCAGGATGTACCTATACGAGGGAAGCTAGGTCCTAGCAAGAGCTTCGAAATGGGCGGATCCCCGCAGGTTATGGGGATGTCTAGTGAAAATATTGACTATGATGATACGCAGCAACAGCAACACGTGGAAATGCAGCAACAGCAAGTGATGCTTGTGCAACAACAGCACCACCACCAAATCTCGCCCAGGAGCCCGCGCGACTTTGGAGACCAAGTAGTCGATGGAAACAGTCCGCGAGGCTATATGAACGGGTCTAGGAACTTGAATGAAAGTCCCAGAGACTATGGCAGTAGTTCTGTATCCAGCCATCCGCGTACCGGCAGTCACCCAGGATTGAACCGCCGGAGTTCGGGCGGAAGGATAGAGGACCAACTTATAAAACAACAACAGACTTCTTCGCAAACGACGTACTACCAAGCCATGCAGTATGACGCTCAGTACGCCGCACCACAGCCTGTACCGCGCCCAGATCGATGACCGGAGTCTACTAAGTGTGACCCGATCTGTCCACGTGGGTTGAAGCGCAATTTTTTGATAAGGCGAAGAGTAACTAATGCCACATGGCAATACACTGGCGGTGAATGGCAGTAAGCAGCCCCAATTCATGCACTCGTGGCTGGAAATGAGTGTCTCTTGCAGTATCACGTACATAGCGAATCATCCAAGATATATATAAAATGGTAAGCACCGCGTATAGTCATGGATGTGGGCGGCATAGCGGCCGATGCAAGTGACTGTATTTGCCAGTACAGTATGAGCACATGTATGCGAGTCAAGACGACCGTCCTGCCTTCCCATACTAGATTGGCTGGTTTAGGGCGGCGGATGGGATCTGAAGAGCATATCCAGGATATAATCTTTAGAAAGTGATTGATATTCTCCAAATTTCTAGAACTTTGTAACACGGAAATAGAAGGGACAACTGTGGAGTGATCAGAGAAATCGCAGATAGTAGTTGGAATGATGGTCAGCACACAAATACGATTCAAGGCAAAAGCACAATGTACCTACAATCAGAATTACAAAGTAAAAGTTAAGATATAAAGATGCACACAAGCGTGTTCCAGGAATCCAACATCCCAGCAAGTGCGTATTGTTCTGGGGGGATATGAGCCGATTTACTCGTATGTTCTCGTGTATGTGCTTCTGTCAAGTGGTGTGGCTTGTCGTCAGAGTTAAAGGTCGATATCACGTCTCGTTGGAGGCTTTAATGGCATGTTCACTTACTACACATGATAAGTACAACTCGGAACCATTGTGGGTTGTTATAATATTGATGTCTGAGTGTGTGCGCTACTCACTTTCCTTTCATCTAGAGATCATTTAATCGTGTAAGAATGGGCGTGTTAGCGCGGATATTATCTATATTACTGGTCTGCACGAATTAATTTTAAATTCAGAATATTACAATAGCTGCGTGATCGTACAGGAATTGAAGTGTTCCAACTCTGTCTCCAATGCGCAATGGTCAGCAAGTATTGACAATTTTGCGTCCTTTCACCAAGGTATATTAGTAACTTTCATTGTGATTTTTTTTACAACTACATAACTCGTACTACAAGTTAGCGATCGTGAAGAATGTACCAACTACCGTGCACAATATCGTGGCGTACGACGAGACTACGTACTTTGTATCTGCGCCGCTTTCATCGTCATCGTCGGAATACGTATCAACCGTGGAGGACTTGGTCGATACCTCGTATCCAGGCGCTACAGTTTGACACAGCTCATTCGCGGGATCTGGACATACACAGTTTTCGCTTTTAATGTCATTCTCGACCAACTCCACACATCTGGATCCGGCCGCACACTTTTCATTTTCGCACTCGTTCGCCGTCAGTAGAAAACCAGATCCCAGCAATTGGCAGTTGACACCAGTAAGCCCAGTAGGACATAGGCACACGTAGTTAGACGTTCCGATGGGGTAGCAGGAACCATTGTTAACACAAGGCCAATTTGCGCACGCGGCCTGTGTGGAAATGTCGGTTTCACAATTTGCACCTTCAAATCCAAACGCGCACTGACACAGACCCTCGCTCGTGTCTGTAGGAGCCACCTTGCATGTACCACCATTTTTGCAGTCACAATTGGCTGGCACGGGAAGGCTGTGCTCGATTGTACCCTCGATCCAAGGCATATACGAGCGCACATCAGTGAATACTATAGGCGATCCACTCGAACAGGAATCGGAACCGAATGAAGTAATACCTAGTAATGTGTTCTCTGAGCGCATAAATAGTGGACCCCCGGAATCGCCCTGACAAGTTCCCTGACCAACCACACCTACATTGCATATCATGCTCGACAACAGTGGTCTCGGAATAGGAGGCGCGTAAACTGCGCAATATTTATTATCTTGCATTTCAACTTCGAGTGACAGAAGATTCTCACTTGCAGCTCCACCACTGGTATCCGACAGGCCCCAGCCAGCTACATTCGCCTTCGTCCCTCTTTCGAGAAATGTCCCTTCTCTGTTAAGATATACAGGCGTGTTTCCAGACTTACCATCCAGTTTGAGAAGCATGATATCATTGATATACGCGCCGTCAACATACATTTGGTGCTTTGCGAACAACTGAATTCCGAAACAATCGAATTCGTTGTATATGTTGTTCAGATTGATGCCGCCAAGACATACGCGATCAATATTGGTTGTGCAATGAGCGGCTGTCAGTACCCATTGCTCATCAATCAGACTTCCACCGCAAACATGATCAAACGAATCAATGTTGTCATCATCAACTCTTTGAAGAGATGCAATCCAGGGCATGCGACTGGTGACTGTGTTTCCTCCGAATACCACCTTCTTACTCACATCCCCAGCTTTAGGACTGTTTGTATCATCGGGCGTTACGATCGAGATGATAGGAGGTCGTGCAGGGGTGAAGTCTTCAGCACAAACATTCTCAATCAAGCATATGGCGGCAAGTAGAACACCACACGCTGCGGAATGTAGCCTAAACATAGTGTCCGATGAACGCGATTGCGAGAGATGCTTGTTCTATTGAGTACGGATCTTATGTAGGCATGTAGGGTGGAGTGCCGTGATTATCTATTTTAATCACAGCGTCCCCATTATTTATTGCTCTTGTATGTTTGGTTACTCCCCTGGTAAATACTGTCTCTCTCTACGCTCTCTACGAAATATATAGAGAATGTGTGTCTCATATAAACTCATCATCTCAGTGATTATGTTTGCGCCGCGTTATTTATTTTACTGACGAGTGATTGACTGGAGTTGTGGTACCGGAATAGATGATAGATTATAAGCAACATACTTGAATAATGACCTATTGGTGTCCAGATATCTCGGTTGCCACCGTCTAACCCAATCATGAAGATATCAAGTTTGTATTCCCCCAGAGCTATTCTATTTTAAGAAATGAGATTTTTTTTAAATTTTATTTGGTGTGACTCGTTAGTGATGTCACTGTCGTTTGTGAATTTTTTACTTCAGTTCTTCACTCTAAAATATTAGCTCTATGTTCCTTCAGAAGGTTATGTTCTGTGTTTCAGAAGTAGAAGATTATGGTTATGAGCCCAATTTGCCATTGGTGCTCTCACAGTGTTGTTCCCTGGATCCTGGAATCCCTGGATCCTGACACCTGGACCCTGTCCCTGGGGCCTGGGTCCTGGTTGCTCTTGTGCGGAAAACATTCTGAATTCAGAAGTTCAAAGCTTCCGTTGGCGTTGGACCGTTGGCGTAATGGCGTTTTAGGCTTTCAGTAGCACTGAGAGAATATTTCTCACTCTCTCTACTCTCTCTAACTCTCTGAGTAGAGAGAGACAGAGACAGAGAGTATCTTGTATCTGACCATCTGAGAGGGAGAGTTCGAGAGCGAGAGAGAGGGAGAGGGAGATCAACAAGAATGAAAGACAGTCATGACGGCATAACCCCACATGATTCAGATTGTAGTTTGTAGCCACATGATGTTTGTTGCTGTCGTCGGAGGAGAGTCAAGTTAAATTAAAAAACACTTATCACTATTTTCGATAGCATTACATAATAAATGGTTAAAGACTCGATTGACGCGCCAAATTAATGCTGACAGTTAGACGGTTACAGACAGCCCATAAAATCAAAGGATTGATTGGTTCTTCACCATAGCAGCGGCCGCCACAAATCTGCAACTGTCAGTATGCCGGTAGAAAAAAAGAAATCAAATAATGGTGTTGTGTGTGACAATTTACAAGAATCACCAGTCACCAGCAACGCAGCTTAGGGAGAGGGCTGAGAGCATTGTGTTGGAGGACAACGAAGAGGAGCCGTTTAAGGTGGTTCGTGAGTTTGAGGACTATGCCTTCATGAGCATTGTTGGGTGGCACCTGTTTGAGCTGATTGGGAGTCGTGCTTCTGCAGGGGAGGATCGTGATACTGATCCGTTGTATCCTTATTCGCTGGTGACGGGCGACAGGGTAGGTAGCGTAGCAACTACAAGAAATACCACGGCAGCAGCTGCGGCAGCAGCTGCGGCAGGAGCAGCAGGAGACTCGAGAAAAGAGCTTGGGCAGCAGCTATTTGAAGCCATGAAGGATTTTGTTTTGGCTCAGAGGGAATCTGCCCGGGGGAGCCACAGCTACTTGAATACTATTGGAAGATATGATAATATCAGAGTGGGCCTGGCGAAGATGACAAGTCGGCACAACAACTCAAAACACGCCATCACCTTCACCAAGATTCAAATTTCATTACTTGTTCGTTTCGCGCTAGCTGTTATTCGTCTGGTACACCGCAATCAACATAGTTATGACTTTAAAGTTATCATATGAGCTCTCGTGTGTTCCCCCAGGTAGTATCATTTTACCTATCCAAATCTGCTAGCGAGGTCGGAACTTGAACCGGCACGATATTCCTTTCGTGTATAGAACGATGCTTTTCACAGCCAACGAGGAGCCCTAAAACCCCTCCTGGCATGACTTACAATATCAACAACGATTGTTATTTGTGTGAATGTTGAACATTGAACATTCCGCAGTGAGGAAGTGCTACGATTGCTTGAGAGCAGTCAAGTCTAATCAATTTTTTAACCTACTCAAACACTTCCACTTAGATAAATGTATAAAATGTATATCAGAGAAATCTCGAGAAAGAGATATGATGATGCGCATATACAATAATTAACTGATTTCACTTGATTGAACTTTTATCAGCTTTCGCGTTACGGACAGAAACGAAAAATATGATATGTATTTACCTCTAGTATTGAACAGTTTGGAGCTTATATTTAGCACAATCATGTGTATGTAAAAATACATAGCCCTCTGGATCGAGTCTCTGCTGAATTATGTCTTTCGGACAATAGTCCGATCAGACATATTATTTTAATTCTTCTCTACTATGTAGTGGAATTATTGCATCCTCCTGGATTGTTCTTATTACTTTTTGTTTAAAAAAAATAGAAGGCTATGGTTTTAGGGGGGGGAGGGGGGGGGGGGGGGGGGGATAGCCTTCTGTATAATTTAGAAGGCTATGGGGGGCTGGGCCAGGGG